GCTAACGGAGTGGCTGAAATCCTATGGCTGAAGTCACTACTTGAAGAGTTGGGTATTGATTATGAGAAGCCCTTGATGTTGTATTGTGATAATCAGGCGGTTATTAATATACCTCACAATCCGATGCAGCATGATAGAACTAAACATATCGAAATTGATCGACACTTTGTTAGAGAAAGGGTTTCATCACAAGAAGTGTGTCTCCCATATATTACCTCCAACATGCAGCTCGCAGATCTTCTCACCAAGGCCGTTCCAAGGAAGAAGTTAGAGACAGACCTATTCAAGTTGGGAATGACAAATATCTATTCCCAACTTGAGGGGGAGTGTAGAGAACACTGATGTGGGCCCCACGGTTGTGATCCCCACTTTGTTCGTATGACAGCACATGTAACCTTTGATTAGTTTGTCAGTGTTAGTTGGTAGTTATCTTAGACAGCTTGTTATCTCAGTTATTTATTTGTTTTATTTKCCATGTAAGCATTAAGGGCAATTCTGTCCTTTCCTACATTTAGTGAACATAAACTATAAATATTGAGAGAGTGGCGGCAGCAGATTCATTCGATCTGCCTCTCCTTTCAAAACTCTTGTGTACTTCTGCTGCTTCTCCTTCTCCCTCTTTCTCCTACTTTTCTCAATCCGAAGTCTGTTGGAATTCAAGACTGACTGTAGTCTTGATCGACTACTATGATTTATATTCAATGGAGAATAGGAAAACAAGAAAACCAGATAATAGCAAAGATCTATACTCTTCCATCAATGCATGCAAAGTTTGGTCAAAGTCCATGTCGTAGAAGGCAACAAAACAATAAATTAAATGCTGATGAGGTAACTTACAATCATGGTCTGCTTCCTCTACCATCTCTTGAATCTCTTTATCATTGAAGTTCAAATTCAGCCTTTGCAATATGTTTGATGTCCATAACAGATATTTTTTCCTGCATCTGGATCAGTAAAAGTTAGCAAGGGACAAGAAAGAATCAGGTCATTTTAGAGATATAGAGTGCTTCACATTATTATCTTGGTCAATAATATGAAAAGGTTTGATTATCTCTTCCTTGGTATCTTTTCTCCGATTTTAGCAATCATCATGTAGACAAATTCATCAAAACCAATAGCACCACTACCATCCTTCTCTACATCTGCAATCATTTGCTCGATTTTCTGGAATAACAGACGATTCTACTGTTAATAATGCAATCATACTTCTACCAGTATCAATTAGGAGAAAGTATGAAACATCATGCTAAAACCAATATGACAGGAGTGCCAATAAAAGAGAAAAGAGTGGTTTCTTATTGCGAGTTTGAAAAGTGATGAGAAAAACAATAATGTCCAAGAAGCATTTTGAGGCTGCTCACTTTCAATATGCTATGAAGTTATGCCCAAACAAAGTGGCTAATTAAGATTACAAATGAACAGAAAAAGAAAACTGGATACAGCATGACAAGGTAAATCACCCCTAGTCAAATTATGTAGTTTCTCAGACAGTTTACCTTGTACTAGGTATGTTTGAATTGAATGAAAACTGCATGGTTGTTCTATAATGACCTCATCATTATTTACTTTCTCATGGTATCCATGAAATGTAGGTATTGATTGTCTAGAACCCTGTGAATCAATCCAAAAAGAACAATGTTGTTAATTTTATATTTTGGTATCTGGGAAAGAAACTCTCATCTATATTTTTGATTTTTTATTAAGAATTTTTTAGAGTAAGATGGGCTTGAATCCACACATTACAATTAGAAAGAATGAGTATATGAAATATTAGACAAGGGTGAAAGTACAAACAAGAAACAACCAACCATATTGGCTTAGAAACCAAATTTTAACTTTTGTAAGCTGGGTTTGAGTCCACACATAATAATTGAAAATAATGATTACATGAAATGTTAGGAATGAGGTGAAAATACAAAAAAAAAAAAAACTAAGCACATAAGCTTAGGAAACAAAATGTCTCTACTTAAGTCTAAAACAGCATCTCTATTATGCAATTCTGAAAAAGACATATGAACAAAAATTTATACAGTTGACAAGTCTTTAGGGGGGCAAGAAATAACTGGTTTCCAGTTGATGACCATTTGTTGAGTTGAAGTAACAGGAAAACTTGATTCTTTCACTGCATATGATGTAAATAACAGATATTAACTTCAGCAATCTAAATGTCCTTTTCTTTCCCTGTTTTCGAAGATGTAAGTAATAATCAATGTAAAGACCTTGATGGTCTGGACTATTGCAGGGAGGCACAGCATTAGATCCTTGCAGGGAGGCAAGGATTTAGTAATTTAAAAACCAGACAAAGAAAATAATGAAAATATAAGAAACAAACCATCTTTTTGTATTGAATAACTTCATTTCAAACCCTATTTTTTTTAGTTTTACTACTCATCCATTCTCACAAAATCGATTTTTGGCACACTCATTTTCTGTACATGTTGTAACTTGACTGTCCAACACCCTGTCTAATGGGTAGTGGTTAGTGGTTAGTAGTCTGCGTTTAGTAGATCAGTGGGATGCTTACATAAGTTAGTAGATTTAGATGTGACTTAGTTGTTTCAGTTTCTTTATATGAACTCTGTAACGTTGAGTTATGATATATGAATGAAGGATTCTGTATTAGGAGTCAAACAGCATAGTGTTGAAGGAGGTTCAACCCCTCCAGTTTCAAGCTTTGTGATAAATTATTTTTTGAAGATAAATAAAGAAAAATTTTATTACTAAGAAGAATTTACATCTCATAGGTGACAAGAAGTCACCCCAAGAAACAAATCAAGCAATAATTCGCAGTGCCCATCTTGATTGAAACCGCTTATGACCTAATAAGCGCATAATTTAAACAAAGATGAAAAAAAATAGAAATTGATTGAAACCGAAAAGAAGAATTTCTAAAGCATAAGAACAATCTGAAACTGAAAGTCTCACCATGATATTTGGGGTGGTGTTTTGAGAGGATAAAGCCATACAAGGTATGTACTGTACAGCTTTTTCACTTTCACCAGCTTTCAGTTTCTTCAGGGATTCCTGAACTCGCTGAACAATCGAACCGGTGAAGGGAAACCCAAAAGGCCAAAAATGAAACAAGCTTACGTCTTACGTGGCTGAAAGAGGATCGTCTAACCGAGAGATATAGAATCTAACGTACAGGATTTTGCCAAACTCATTGATAATCGACATTATTATTGTACTTTCATTTGTAAAATTAATTATAATAAATGAAGAAATACATAAGCTTGTAGAGTGACCGGACTTAGCGGACGATCAACAGTGAAAATCGAAGCCGAAAACTCGAGGGGTTTATCCCGTACAGATTAGTAAGCATTTCTTCAACATTCTGATTGCCGCAGAAAAGGGAATAGAAAAACCTAGAAAGTGTAAAATCCAAACCCCTGCATCCTTTTTTCTCCTCTTTTGTTGACAACTTTCTCATTTTACAATCATAATAGTAGTCTGCTGCAGGATAGATCATGAACTTTTTTTGGTAGAAGGATAGATCATAAACTTTAGATTATAATATATTCGAATTTATGATAGGCTGATGGAATATGGAGTCTTATATTCTTTTTTCTTTTTTGATTGATAATGGCCGACATCGGCAAAAATAGTCATAGCGGGAACTTCATCATGAACTATATGGAATGCGTATTGGTAGTGCAGATTCAATTTTCATAATGCAACATTTGTTGCTTCCCACGAGAGAATTAGTTAGTTAATTATTTCTTTATTGCTATCTTGGGGAACAAATCATTATTACAAAGCAATTCCTATCCCGATGCCTGCTTATATTGTCTAAACCTAAAATCTTATTTGGAATTCAGTTGCTCCAGTATAGAAATGTGATGTTTTCTGTACGGCATCTGGATTGATTTATATGGATATCCTTCTGCATTTTATTTTATTTTATTCACAGTAACCGAATGTGATGCTTGACTTCCTGTGCTGTTGGGTGTTGTTTTTATTCTCTCAATGTATATATACTCAAATATATCAACGTAGAATGCGCACTTTCTTTTTCAAACTGCAGTGAATGAACTTGAAGACAAAAATCTTTCTAGATAAACATAAGAGAATGATCTTTAATGCTCCACCCTTGTTAGCTGGTATCACTATCAAGCGCCAAGGAAGATATCTGCAACGAAAGTTTGATGGAAAAACTGTCATTCCTTTCAAGTGACAAACCATAACCTTCTTCCCTCAATTTCATGGTTTGTTTTCTTCCTACTTCCATTCTCAACTTTTCAATGTGATCACCATGGACAACATTCATTCCCCCCACCCCCAATTCATATTGTCAGATTGAGCTCTCAAATAAAGATAGTAGTACATCTTAATCTTATTCTTGCTTATAGTTTGTTGGATTAAGTCCAATTTGGGCTGTTATTGTGATTGTTACATCAAAGTTGGGTCTTAGTATTTAGTTTGTTGGTAGCCAAAATGTTTAAGGAGATGACAAGAAGGTGAGTAGGTGTCACGTTTATCAAGTTACTTGCTCAAGAAAAAACTTTCTAAGAATGTGACAAGCAGGTGATAAGGTGTTTACTCCATGAAGGTTGTTGCTCACGAAATGTCTAAGTAGGTAACAAGCAAGGTAATGAGATATCATTTCCAGATTCAGATCCAAAGAGCGATGTCATGTACCATCTTGTGAGTAATGAATGGAAGGAATTGAAGTTGTTTTACTAGTTACCTCTTAGCTCCAGGATGGTCCATTTCTCTCTTTCTAATACAGCAAACTACTCTCTCTCACTTACCCACTTATCTCTCTTCTATTCTTTCTGAAATCCTACATCAGTATCACTGGTATATAGTCCATCTTTCTCTCTTACCATTATGATACCTATATATTTTAAATATGCAGCCCACAGTTTTTTAGCAGTTTCTTTTTTTTTTTTTTGGGGGGGGGGAGTTATATAACTTTTTTTTTGGCTTATGGTGATGAAAAAGTTATATTAAGTCAATAATATTATAGAGATTTGCAACATAAACAACACAAATATTCTTACAGAAAGTCAGAAATGTATAAATGATATGAGGGGTCATGGGATTACTTTTCCCTTGGTCTGCCTTCTTGACAAAACAAGAAAACGAGATAGGGAGTAGAGGAGGTAAGGTTTGGAGAGAAATAGGGTGGGAGGGTTTGGGTCTATTGCAGCTGTTTTTTGCCAGATAAAATAAACATTTTCTTTTTTAAATTTTGGGAGTTAAATGGAGGGGCATTAGAGAGTTAGAGAGCAATCCTTAACATTTTCATGAGACTTTCATGTTGGGGGGAGGAGGGACAAGGACCCATTTTATTATGTGTTTTCCACTGCCTCCACCCACTAACTATATGAATTATGGGGGGGGGGGGAGGACCCCTCAACTTGATACTTGGCTCTGCCCCTATTTTTTAGGATTTTATTTGGTTGGGAACTAAGGTGTTTGGATATCTCTCACTGATGCCTTATTACTTGTGATTGTTTGCCCTCCTTTTTCCCTTTATGAATTCTATATTTACAATAAAAAAAAGTTGTACTCTACCCAACTGGCCATAAACCATCATTTTCTCTAAGCCCTAATCTCAATTCTCACATTCTATGAAATGTATGCTAACAGAAAATTTTTGTTATGAAACCAGCACAACAAACCCTTCTTCGTCCTATCAGACAACCACTTATTCCCTCATAAAACTCCATTTCTACAGATCATTTCAATAGAAAGGATCCCCACCCATCCTGCTCTGCTAAGCCGCCTAAGCTCATTTAAAGCAAGAGTTGGTGGATTTGGGAAGTGACTTTTTGATATATAATTATTGTTTTCACGGTTTTCTCCCTGGAAGATTTAGAGACTCAAGGTTGTTGAACAACATTCATTGAGCCTAAAAGAATAAGGTTCTTGAAGCAAAAAAGGTTTTAGGATCTTGGGCTTTAGTGCTTAATGGAAGAAATCTAGGACTGTTCAAATGAAAAGCCATTAAAATATAAGTTTATGGTAATTCTTATTGGTGAATAAAGTTTCCTACAAGAGGGATCAAGTTTCCCTGCGATATCCAAAACTTGACATGAAAATGGTAGGATTATCAACTTTTGTTTTGTCTGTGGATGCTGACTATTGGATAAGTTTCGCTAAGCTAAGATGGAAGAAGCAAGACCCATCTATTCATGGTATGATTTATTGAAAGATTGTAACCTGTCATACCTGCATTTATGAGACATTCATATTGAGAAAGAGGATAGTTGATGTAGGGAAAGGTTCTACTGCATTTTGTTGGTTGTTGGAGTTCTCTGGGCTGTAAGTGCACTGGCATATGGCATATCATAATTTGATGTTTTCAAGGACCGATCACCTATTGATATCAAATGTGTATATTAGGGGCATTCACAAACACCATAATCTTTTTTATTTTGGAAATGGTGGCAAAATGTTCCTGCATATATTATATATTTCTCAGTTACTAAGCCAGTTAGATATTCCTGACTAGCTTACTATGGTTGGTTCTGTTTTATCAAAGCTTTTATATTGCAGTTCATCTGGCTGAAAGGTTCTACATATGGCTGATGTAGTAAGAAATGATTTTAACACATAATTTAACAATGGATATGGTACTAAACATAATAGAATGAAAAAGGATTCATGTAACCAACCCCATATAGTATGAACAAGGCTTAGGTGATTATGATGGTGAAACTCTTATCTTTGTTTTGGAAATGATGACAATCTTTTATGTGAATAATATGTCTTTCTCACTTCCAAATCAGATTGGTATTCTTGACTATCTCATTATTGTTGGATCTGTTTGTTTTCATCAAAGATTTTGTATTACTGTTCATCTGGCAGAATGTCTATATCAAAGACATTGATGGTACCTTATGTTTTCTAATTTTCTACTGTAATGGTTGTCTGTTTTGCTCTGTTCAGATAAGGATCAAGTAATTTAGACAGTATAATGAAGATCTGTGGATCATCTTCAATGGGAGTTCTGTAGAAGTAGATCTTTCAAAACATCATCTCAAAAGGCCTTATCTTTGGGCTGTCCTGTCATACTGGCAAAAGTTCCTTTATATTTTGTGGTGGTCTTCTATTGTTGCCATGCAAAGGCAGAGCCTACTCTACCCAAGGGTCTCTTTCAACTTCCAAAAGATCCCATATGGACTACTTTGTTCTGGAGTTCTTTGTGCTTTTTCAAGCTTGCTTCCTTATAGGAAGTATGGTAGATTTTGGCTAGTGAGGGAAAAATTTCCAGCAATCATGGAGACAACAAAAGTGAACAATCTAAAGATGGGTACTGCCTTTCAAGGCATTGGAAGTATGCCTAACAAAGATCAAGGAGAGTTGACTGATGAAGATGATGACCTTTGTCCTGTTGAATGTGTGAGAGAATTTAAGACTGATAAAGAATTCTTCAAGATACTGGAGAAGGCCAGGGAAACTGATTCTTTAGTTGTAGTAGATTTTTATCGTACTTCATGTGGAAGCTGCAAGTATATAGAGCAGGTGTTCTCAAAATTATGCAAAGGATCTGGAGATCAGGAAGCTTCTGTAATCTTCTTAAAGCACAATGTAAGTGTTTCTAGTTAGTAAATATGCATAAACTAATTCAATAAATTCTTATAACTTCAGTTATATGAATAAACTAATGATTGTTCCAATTTGTTTGTAAATATGTATATGGCAGTGTTTTAAAAGGCGTGGGAGGCATACGCCTGGAGGCGTTCCTCCGGGCGAGGCGCTCCCAAAACGCCCTGAGGCGTATGCCAGAGGCGCTGACACCTCTGAGGTGTATGCCTCAGGTGCAAGAGACATACGCCTCATGCGCCTCATGCACATCTTATATAAAAGGACAAAAGAAAGAAAAAGAAAAAAAAAAGGAAAGGAAAGGAAATGAAAGGAAAAGAAAGAGAAGAAAAAAGATAAAAGGAAAGGGAAGGGAAGAAAAGATAAGGGGAAAGAAAGTGGTTTGCCCCTTGCCCCTTCGCCCCACGCCCTCTTTTCAACAAGACCCCCTCTTTCAACTAATGCTATGCATCTTTATTCTTCTTAATATAAAGGATTTTTATTAAAAATAAATAAAAAATGAGATCCCCCCTACTCTTCATCCTCCTCCTAACCCCCCTCCTCTTAAGGAGGCTTACGCCTCTTGCGTTCTGAACTACACCTCACGCCTCTAGGTAGTGGAACTCCTCGCGTCACACCTCCACGTTTTAAAACATTGGTATATGGCATAAACAAAATATGGAAAGTTACATTTACAATTTGTTTCAAGAGCGGAAACACAGTAAAATATTTGTTACACATGCACTATAAGTTTTGCATGTTACAAAAGGGACTTTACCCTATGTTGGTTATGGCCATCTGGGGTCTGGGGAAGGGTGGACTAGATAAACCTAATTTTTTTGGGAACTTAGTGGCTTTCTCAAACTCAATCCATTCTTACGCTTGTCAGCCTGCCTGAGATTTACAACCAGCAAACAATGGCTCCTGTGTTTAATATGTTTAGAAAAGTTTGGAATGAAAAGTTCAGCATGTTTTACATGTAAATGCATGTATAATCTATTAAAAGTATGCATAAAAAAGCTAATACTCAATATTGGTCCCAGCTGAAGAGTGAGATTGGTTGGAGGATTTTAATGATCTTATCTAGAGTTTAAATGTTTGGGCTGGCAGGTGCGAGAATGCAGATGCAAGTCTGTGGGCAATGGCTTTTATCTAGGGTTAAAATTTTGAATTTAATGTTATGAAAAGGAAAATGGTTATCAGTTGTTAAATGGTCTTTATTATACAGTTCAGGATTAAAGTTTGATAGTGATGGAGGATATCATTTATGTCACTTGTATATGTCACCAAACAGTTTCTCCTATTTTCTGTTCATTTTATCTTTTGCGTTGGCCTAAAGATCATCTGAATCTTTTTTCCTTTTGGCACAATCCCAGTGGTTAAGAATATTTTATCTTTCTTTTGTTGCTAACTACAGTGGTTAAAGTAGGTATTATAGTTTTGACACTGGATTTTTTGAGCTTAATGTAAAGCTATCTTGTGATTAGCTGAACAGGATTATTTTATATGTACCAACCTGTGCAGGTTATAGATGAGTATGATGAACAATCTGAGGTAGCTGAGCGCCTGAGAATCAAGGTATGTTTCCCCTGTAAATAGCTTTTCAGACCAATATTAATTCACCTGTTAGTGTTCATTTATCTGGATTTTGGAATGGAAATTCTTTGGAGCTCAGTTGCATGGATTTTTATTAATACAAAATTCAGCTCCAAATCCTGGCAAATCAAATGAATACTGTGATGAATTTTTAGGTAATTTTATTTGTTGATACTTGGTTTTTCAGATGATTTTTGAAGAAAAAATAGGCTAGAACTTTTCTCTTTAGTTAATGAGTATGGATAAATTCCATGGATGAGAGGAAGTGACTGTATTGGGATGTTCAACTCAATGCAAACTAAGTGGTTACAACATCCTAGTGAATGCATGGCTGTGGAAAGTATTTTAGTAAGAAACTTATTAGATGCAATCACTTGTCAATATATCGGGGAATGTTCTATAAACATGGCTGAGGCCTGGATGGTGTTAGAAGCACACAAAGTGGCAAAACAATTTAGCAGGAATAGGATGATTAATGAAGGTGGGCCTTGACGCAACAGTTAGGTTGCTCCATTGTGACCTGGGTGACTAGGAATGGCAACGGAGCAGGTTCGGGGAGGGTTTTGTAAATTCTAGACCCTAGCCACCTCTCTAAATCTCCCAATCAGTACCTGCCCCATAACCCATAGCAGGTTGGATTTTGGGAATTCAAACCCTCCCTGCACATGAAAATGCAATACCCTCTCTGACTCTACCCTCCCCGTATTTAAGGGTAGGGTGGGTTGGGTTTAGAGCCTTCATCTAATTTCCTATTATTTCTTGTTACGTATAAAAAATAAATAAGTGAAATAACATGAACAAACAACATAATTTCCAATTATTCAATTAAGATATGTGAAAAACATATAAATTATCAATTATCCTTCACATTAAATTCAACACCTAATACATAAATTTCATATGCTTTCCAACAATATGTGAGTCATGGAGGGTCAGGTTTAGCCTACTACTGTACCTTACCCATACCCGTATAGGTTATAGAATCCTAAATCCTGCCCCTGCCCCAAAATCCATCCTTCTAGCAAAAAAATTGCCCCATCAAGGTGGGTAGAGGCGTGTACCCACCAGGTAGGGTAGAAATTACCATACCTATAGGTGACCAGGGTTGAAATCTTGGAAACAGTCTTTCTATATGTGCAGGGGTAAGGCTGCGTACGGACCCCACATTGGCAAGAGCCTCGTGCACTGGGCTGCCCTTTTTAGGATAATTATTGAAGGAGACTCATGAATGGTGATCAATGGGCTGCATGGTTTAGAGGATCCTCCCTGGCACACGCCAGCTTTTAAAGGAATGCTATGAGGTTAATAGAAAGTTCAGTCTTACTTTGACCTATAAGCATGTTTATCGCAAAACCAACATTGCAGCAGATTGGCTAGCTAACCTTTGGTCATTTGAAGAGATTAGATAGCAATTGGCTAGCTAACCTTTGGTCACTCCTCGGCCTCTTTGATGTATTTTTCAATCTACAAAAAGAATCATTCGTCAAAATATCAACAAGAAACTTATAGAAAAAAAAAACTCTATCTAGAGTTATAGATTTTATTTTTCTTTCTAATCAACAGAAGACCACATTTAGATATTACTAGCACTGCTAGAAGTATTTTAATTTAGCAATCTTTTATTTTTTTTTGCACTGCTGCAGTAATAGCTTAGACTATGGTTTCGTTATATCAAGTGCTATACTCAGAAAATAGGAATTTGAACACATGCAGGCAGTCCCCCTCTTCCACTTCTACAAAGATGGAGTGCTGTTGGAAGCATTCCCAACCAGAGACAAGGAGAGGATAACTGCTACTATTCTTAAATATACAACTCCTGCATCCGAAGACATCAAAATCGATTAGGTTATATTTATGTGCTTTAACTTCATCATGTATTCAGAATGAGATTAATGCTTATTCACAATCTTAGAGTTATTGGAAGACTCGTATTGTTTGATACGTGTATTTGGTGGTCAGCTGGATCATTGCACATGGTCTCATTGTTGTGCGAATAATCCTTGGACCATTTGTTTCTCTTTCTCTCTCTATTTTTGTTTTTCTGATAATTATACTTGTACTGTTATTGAGAAAGAAAAAGTAATCACAGAAACCAAGTATTGTTGTTACATTTATTATTGCCTATACTTTCTGGAAAAGTCATTATCATCTCGTGACCTGACCAGTACAAAAACTCTATTGACAATTTACTGTTTTGCCATTTATGGGCAAGGTTCAATGTATAGACATGATAGGCCTCTATCTTATCTTTATGGTGTAGATAGTTGTCGATATGCCCTCTTTTAAAGTTAATTGTTAGTTTTTTTTTTTCTATATTATAACTAGTGGGGACCTGTTTTGTTAAAGATAAATAATAGAAATACATAAGAGTATACAATTGTTTTATATAATAATTAATAATTATTTATATTTTATATATCATTTTTAATAAATTTTTGTAATATAAAAATAACAATTATTAATTTTAGATAGGGTTGTTTATCGAGCTTAGGGATGGTAATTTTTTCCATTTCTCTAATCCTTGTGGGGATCTACCCTGAATGGGGCAGAGATGGGGATGGTTTTCTCCCCGCAAGGATGGAGATGGGGAAATTTTCATCCCCATTGGCGGGGACGGTGTGGGGATGGAGAGAGCACTCCTTGCCCTGCGGGGACCCCTTGTATAGTAGTTTAGAAGTTTTCTTTTTTTTTGAATTATTTATTTTTTTATTTCATGTCATTTTAGATACAACTAATGAGATGCCCTCCTTCCCCATAAAAAAATACCTAAAATCTCTCTCTCTCTCTCTCTCTCTCTCTCTCTCTCTCTCTCCCACATCCCTAATAACCTAAATAATATCATTTCCTAAAATTTCTCCTAAACTACATCGCCCACTATTCCCCATTTTCTCCTGAATTATTTCTAATTTCTATTTATCTCTTGATATATCTCTAATTCCTATTTATCTCCTAAATTATCTCTAATTTAGTAGAGAGTTTCTCTCATAAATTATCTCTTTTTCCTATTTATCCTCTCCCCCACTTTTTATCTATATCTATCTAAATAAAATTTGAATTAAAAAATTATTTAAATATTCTAACAAAATTATATAATAACTTTAAAATATTTATTAAAAACACAAAAAAAATTAATATATTTAATAAAATTCATATTATTAATAATTTTATATTTTACAAAATTCATCATGAAATTATGTATTGACAATATACATTATGATTTACCGGATTATTCAATTTAAATGTAATTCAAATAATAAAAAAATTAACATTAAAAAATAAAACATTATTTAAATATTTCAATAACTAAATATCTTAAATGACAAATATTGAAAATAGCTAAATAATTATATAATAAATTATTTAATATTATATAATAACTTTAAAATAAATAAAATTCAAATAGTGAAAATTGATGTAATCTTAGTTATATGCCACAAGGGCACTTTTCTCTTTTCGTTAATTTTATTTATTTTTGTTGTTGCCCTAATACTTTTGATTGAAATCATGGTATTAGAGCAGGACAAAACTTTGTAAAAGGTGTTTTTATCTGATCAAAGATCTTACAAATCACATACCTGGACTGAGAATTAGAAAACTAGTTCGACCTTGCATTGAGAACTGCTGTTGGACCCTATTCTATTATTTTTAAATAGAAACTGAAAAGAATCACACTCAGAGATTGGCGGATGGTTGATTGAGTTTTTCTAGAGGTTGGTGGCTGTTTTTCTCTTTTTCTCTCCCATTCTTCTCTGGACTATAACTTCCAAAAATTAGTCAGACTGATCAGGAACCTAGTCTGAAGTGACTTTTTTTTTTTATCATTGGCTCTTGGTATTATTACCAAGAACATCCTAAAATCTGCCCTAGCCGAATGGTGTAGGCGTGTTTAATGACTTTTGTGGGTCAGCGATCCAAATCTGTGTGGGTGAAGAACCTGTGTAGGTCATGTGTGACTTGGTTTAGATGAAGAAATACATCAACAAAAGAGTAGATGTTACTGTGGTTGCAATCCTTGTGAGGTCAGTTAGACCTATAAATCTGTGACAACAGGTGTTGTGTTATTGTGACTGCAATTTGACCTTAAATCTTAGAATGGGGGTTGTGTGTTTGTGTGTATGGACTATGGGAGAAGGGTTGTAGGTCTGAAACTTCTGATAGCAGCCTTTGCTATGGCCTCTGAAGACTTTGCAACTTATGGAACCTCTTTTAACCAAGGAGGAATGAACAATAGTCTTGACTCTATGAACTTTCCAACGACCATACTCCCTTAGATGGCAGAAATTATTTGACATGGTCTAAGGAGATGCGGCTATACATCACAACCCGAGGTAAGGTAGGGTATATCAATGGAAAAGTGAAGGAACCTAGGATTGGTACTGCTGAATATGATAAGTGGGACCAGGAAAATTGCATGATTATGTCATGGCTTTTGACTATTATGCTACCATTAGTTAAGCAGAATTTTATGTGGGCTGAGACAATCAAGGAAATTTGGGAACAAGTAAGGTCAACTTATTTTGAGCAGAGACACTATGCTCGAATCTATCAATTGCAAGCCAAGTCTGCAACATGTAAACAAGGGGAAAGAAGCACATCCACCTACTACTCTACCCTTACATATATTTGGGAAGAGTTAGATTACTATCAGAACATTGATTGGGAGAGTGAAAATGATGCCAAAGCTTACAAATAGTTAGTGTCACAACAGCGGGTGTTTGCTTTTATCTTAGGGCTTAATCCTATGTATGAACCCATTCAAGTTCAAATTTTGGGCAATAAGGACCTTCCTTCTGTCCAAGAGGTGTATGCTTTGGTTCAATCCAAGGAAAGTAGAAAATCTACCATGAATCCCCCCGAAGGGGAGACCATTGCTTTAGTTGCAAGAAGTAATGCCAATTTAGCAAGAAAGGGAGATGGCCAGAAAATGGTTGATGATAAAGATAAACTGTGGTGCACTCATTGTCAGAAATCTCGACACACACGGGAGACATGTTGGGAATTGCACGGAAAGCCGAAGTGGGCACAAGACCTAAATAAGAAATTAGTTCAAAAACAAAACAAGAATCCAAATCAGAAGAGGATCACCTTGGCTAACTTAGCCCCTCATGAGTCAAGTGGAGGAACTACTGTGAACTCTCAGGATTGCCCCCTAGGTCTGATCTTAAGGAAAATACTATCTCTACCTTCCATGACCATTTGGAGCAATATGGTAGGGTTTTCACACAAGCAGGTTCTGAACCCACTCCTTCAACCTCCTTTGCTTCTGCCTCAGGTAACTTAGCTTTTGCATTCTGTGTCTACTGATACCTCTGAATCTCCATGGATTATTGATTTTGGTGCTTCCAATTACATGATTGGTAAGTCAACTTTTTTGCAATCATACACCTTTCTAGCAAAGATAAAGTGACGTTGGCCGATGGATCCTTCTCCTCCATTGCCGGTCGATGATCTATATCTTTGTCATTTGGCTTACCTTTATCCAATGTTTTTCATGTTCCAAAACTGCCTATTAATTTGATATTTATTAGTAGCATTATACACTCTTTGAACTACTTAGTGACCTTTTATCATCAATCTTGTGTCTTTCAAGATTTGGCCTTCGGGAGGACGATTGGTAAAGGGAATATGGTGAATGGTCTCTATGTGCTAGAGAATAAAGTTGATCTTGTGGCCTTAGAGTCTTTGAGTCAGCCAAATAAAAGTCAGGTTATTTTGTGGTACAATTGTTTGGGTTATATGCCCTTTGAGTCTTTAAAGTACTTATTTTTGGAATTGTTTAAGTCTGTGTCAGTTAATGATTTTCAGTGTCAAGTGTGTCAGCTAAGTAAACATTATAGAACTTCATTTCCTTTATGTAATAAAAGATAAGATGTTTCTTTTTCCATTATGTATTTTGATGTTTGGGGACCTATAAATATTCCAACGGAGTATGGCTACAGATACTTCATATCTTTCATTGATGACTTCTCTCGATATACGTGGGTGTACCCTATGCACTATTGAGAAGAAATTCTTAAACTTGTGAAAGCCTTCCAACGTATAGTATACACAATTTCATACAGAGATTAAAATTTTTCAATTAGATAATGCCAAAGAGTATTTTCATGTTGACCTCACTGAATTTTTTGAAACTTGTGGCTCTCTTCATCGTAGCTCTTGTGCTAGAACCCTTCAATAGAATGCGCTTGCAGAGAGAAAGAATCGTCATCTTATAGGGGTTGCTCGTGGGTTGTTAATACACATGAATGTTCCCAAAAGATTTTGAGTGGATGCTGTTATGACTGTAGCTTATCTTATCCATCGGATGCCATCTTGTCTCTTGGAATACAAGTCCCCTTATCAACTCATCCTCCCTATGTGTGTCTTTGGGTGTAAATATTTTTTCCATAATTTGTCTCCTACACGTGGGAAGCTAGATCCCAAAGCCACTGTTTGTGTTTTCCTTGGTTACCCCTTTCCCAAAAGGGTTATTGTTGCTTTGACCATATTTCTAAACAATACTTTGTATCCATGGATGTTTCTTTCTTTGAAGATGTGTTTTTCTTCTCTGCTTCTTCTCAGAGGGAGAGTCCAAGTGAGGAGAAACAAAGACAGGTTTTTTTGCCTTCTCCTCCTAATCCTTTTCCATTTCGGATCATTCGTAGACAACAATACAAAAGTCAAGGTCGGGGTCAACAAATTTCAGTAGATACAGAGCATCCTGAAGCTGTGCAACCTATGCAATCAAACTCTCAGGGGTTGAGTCCATCACTACATCAAGGTACTATTGTTCTAGTTAATGTCCCTAAACCCATTGATATGATACTTTTAATTGTGATATGGACCTTCTTATTACTAAGAGGAAGGGTGTCAGATCATGCACCACACATTACCCAATGGCTCACTCCTTATCCTATGAGAATGTTTCACTCTCTTTCCATGCTTTTCTCTCGGTTATTGACAGTGTTTCCCTTCCTAAAAGTGTTGTAGAAGCTTTACTTATTCCTTAGCAGACATATGCAATGAAGGAGGAGATCAATGTCCTTCACAAAAATGGCACGTGGGAGTTGGTAGATCTTCCTAAGGTAAAGAAACCTATGGGGTGCAAATGGGTATTCTTTGTAAAACATA